TGTTCAGTTCACATCCATATATATATATATATATATATATATATATATATATATATATATATCCCTGATATTAATCATTACATAACCTTTACATAACCCTGATATTAATCACTTGTCAGATAGCTGACAGACATGATCTTCCATTCTGTGGGCTGTCTTTTCATGCTGTTGATTGCTTCCTTTGCTGTGCAGAAGCTTTTTAATTTACTGTAATCCAATTGTCAATTCTTGTAATATCCTGTGCTGTTAGATTCCTATTAGGAAATCTTTGCCTGTGCCTATGCCTGCAGTTATTTTTCCTGTGTTTTCATCTAGTGTTTTCAAAGTTTAAGGTCTTATGCCTAAGTCTCTGATCCACTTTGAATTGGTTTTTGTATACAGTGAAGAGATATAAGTACTCTATTTTCCCTCTTCTACATATAGAGATTCAATTTTCCTAACATCATTTGCAAAGAGGCAGTCTTTCCTCCAATGTATGTGTTTGGCTCTTGGGCGAAGATCAGATAGCTGTAGTGGTATATCTTCTCTTTGGTTCTGTTAGTCTACATGTCTATTTTTATGCCAGTACAATGTAGTTTTTGTTTTGAAAATAGGCATTGCGATGTCTCCAGCACTGTACTTTTTGCTCCAGATTGCTTTGACAACTGTGGAACTTTTGTGTGTCCATGTGAAACTTAAGATTTTTTTTTCTACTTCTTCAAAGAATATCATTGATACTTTGATTTCACTGATATTCAATGCAATCATTGAATCAGAAGATCACTGTAGGCACTACGATCATTTTCACAGATGAAATTCTGCCAATCCATAAACATGGGAGTGATTTCTTCAATTTCTTTAGTGTTCTGTAATTTTTATCATAGAGGTCTTTTATTCCCATAATTACATTTATTCCTAGGTTATTTTTCTTTTTTTAAGCTACTGAGAGTGAAATTGTCTTCCTGATTTCTTTCTTAGCAAGTTTTATTATTGGTGTTTGGAAAAACTATAGATTATATCCTGCCACTTTGCTAAATTTTAAAAATCAGATCTAAAAGTCTTATAATAGACCTTGTAAGCTTTTCTAAGTGCAGTATCATATCATTTGCAAACAGGAATAATCTGACTTGTTTCCTCTTATCTGCACTCCTTTTATTTATTTCTCTTGCCTAATTCCTCTAAAAACTCCAAGTACTATATAGAACAAGAATGGTTGAGAGTAGGCACCCTTGTCTTGTTCTAGATTTTAGGGGAAATGCTTTCAGTTTTTCCCCATTCAGGAAACTCTTGGATGTGGGTTTGTCATTTATAGTCTTTGTTACAGTTTCTGTCTAGATATCCCCCCAAAACCACGTGTGTGTATATAGGTGGTACTTTTGGGATGTGGTTGGATCATGGCATGATATGTGATTTGGGAGGTGAAGCCTGGTTGGTGGAGGTGGTCACTGGTGGCACAACCTGGAAGGGTTTATTTCCTTCCCTCCTGCCCTGATAGCTCTCTGCACCCTGCCTTGAAGCCAGCCAACATAGAGTAAAATCTATACACACTGTGAGCCAAAATTAACCTCTCCTCCTATAATTTGTGGGCTTTGGGTCTTTATTATATTGAGGTAAGATCCTTTTACACCTCTTTTCTTCCAGGCTTTATCATGAAGGGATGTTAATTTTGTTGAAGATCTTTTCTGCATCTACTGAGATGATCATGGGACTTTTATCTTTATTTTTATTTTTGTACTATATTTATTGATTTACATATGTTGAGCTATCCTTGCATCCCTGGAATGAAACCAGCTTAATGATTTTTTATGTGTTACTGAATTCAGTTTGCAAGCATTTTGTTAAAGATTTTTATATCTACCTTTGTCAAGGAGATTGGTCTATAGTTTTTTTGTTGTTGTTGAGTTTTTATTTGGTTTTGTTATGAGGATAGTACAGCTTTATAAAATCAGTTTGGAAGTATCCATTGCCTTTCCTTTTCATGTTATAGTTTGAGGAAAATTGATACTATTTCTTGTTTAAAGGTTTGATAAAATTCATCAGTAAATCTGTCTGGCTCTGGGCTAATTGTTGGGTGACTTTTTATTACTGCTTCAATCTGATTGCTTGTCATTGATCTGTTTAGGTTTTTTTTATATCCTGCTGGTTCAACTTTAGCCAGCCATATGTGTCCAGAAATTTATTCATTTCTCCTAGATAATCCAATTTCTTGGAATATAAGTGTTCCCAATAGTCCTTCCTCTCCTTTGGATTTCAGGGGTTACTATTGTAATATCTCTTGCTTCTAAGTTTATCAATTTGAATCTTCTCTTTCTTTTGGTTCGTTAAGGGTATATCAATCTTGTTTTCCTTTTCAAAGCACCAGTTCTTTTCATCTGTTGCTTCATGTGACAGTTATACTGCAGTGTCTACTTGATTGGCTTTGAGCTCCACCGAGGGGATTGGAAGTGGTGAAGCACAGTTCTGTGTGCTCCTGGGTGAGTCACAGAGGGGCAGCCTCAGGGTCTATGCCTGATTCCCCACCCCTCCCTCTCTGGTGCTATTCTCCTGCTCTGCTGTCTGACTGCCATGAATGAAACAGTTTTGTTTTACCACCCTCTCCCACCTTCACACTCTTGCCTTAGAGCCATTCAGTCATAGGTGGAAAACCTCTAAAACCATAACAGAAGTTAAACCTGTCCTCTTTTAAATTGTGGATGTCAGATACTTTGTCCCAGCAACGAAAAGATGATTAATACACTCATATTGTTCTTTTAGTCTCTATTTCATTAATTTCAGCTCTGATTTTTGTTATTTCTCTCCTCTTATTGATTAATTGTTCTTGTTCTCTCCTAAGTCTTTGAAATGTATCATTTGATTATTTGTTTGAGGTTTCTCTGTTTTTTAAATTTTGGCCCTTGTAGCTATGAACTTCCTTCTCTAAACTGCCTTCACTGTATCCCACACACTCTTGTATGTTGTGTTTCCATTTTAATTTGATTTCAGAAATTTTTTAATTTCTCATTTGATTTCTTCAATGACTTAGCCATCAGTCAGAAGAATATTGTTCAATCTCAGTCTGCTTGCATGGTTTCTGTAGTTTCTTTCAGTGTTTATTCTAATACCATTCTATTGTGATCTGATGAGATCCCAGTAATTATTTCAGTTTTTAATATTTGTTACATCTGAGTTTATGATCTCTTTTGGAGAAAGGTACAAGAGCTACTGAAAAGAATGTGTGTTCTGCATTGTTGAATGACTACTCTGTGGATGTCTGCTAAACCCAATTGATCTATAGTATAGTTTAACTCTGATACTTCTTTTTTTATTTTTTGGGGGGGGGTCTGGATGACCTATTTATTTGCAGAATAACTTCTCACTCTTTTACAATAATTTTTAATATAGTTCTGATGAAATCTGATCGTATAGGAAAGTTATTTTTATCTCAAAGTTTCATTGTATGACAGGGGAAGACGATTTGTGGTTGACTTATGCACGAAGCACAAGCTTTCTCATAATGGAGTTTACTCAGTCATTTCACTCAGTTTCCTCATCATTGTGTAAACTTTGTCACTCTTGGAATCAGGAGTTCTGGATCATTGTGTTTGTGACAGTATATGAGCATGACTAGAAGAACCTGGCTCTGTAACTTGGGGGACAGCAGAGAAACAAGAATATAGAGCCTGCCTGCATTTGAAGTCCTTCTGAGATCTTTTGCCTTATTTACGCTGGGGAAGCCCGAAGTCAGTGGTTACCTCTAGGAAAGAAAACATTAGTAAAATTCGGAGGAAAGTGAAGTGCATGGATCACTGTGCTTGTTATTCATTGAGTGTTTTTGACTTGCTAAAAACAAGTTTAATACACTTATACAATGTATAAAGATGTAACTGATTCTGGAGCTCTGCTCCTTACAGGGAACATACTTCATGTTATTGTAAGCACTGAAGAAAATTAAATCAATAAATCCTCAACCTGTAATTGGAGATACTCAATTGGAAGAAAAATAAATTGTCAGGGTGGGAGGGGGAAATTTTTTAAATTGAGGAAGACTTGTGAACAACCTGTGTTGGCCCTACAATCCCATGCACTCAGGTGACAACAAGAATTACCTTTCTGCTGTAAGATTAGGGAAGTGTCCTTATGAAACTGCCCAAGAGCAAGGCCCAGCTCCCTTCCTTTTAAAATGAAGCATTTACTCCAGAGGGAAGCAATGCAAATGAATCTCTCTTCCTGCCCCTGACTTGCTGTACTGTCCCTGTGTGTCCTTTTCCTTGGGAAAGTTTCACTGGGTAGGGATCCGGTGTCAGAAAGCTTAGTGAATTTTTCCTTCTCACTGACATTGATATTCTGTGACCCCTGGCCAGCCAATTAACCTCTCCATGTGTCACCCTTCCTTGTGTAGAAAGTTAATAGTGCAGCTTGTTTGCAAAGTGCCTTCAGCCCTCCATGAAGGGCACTACCCAAATACCCAGCATTGCTGCTGGACTAGAGGGCACTGCAGTTTTTAATTATATGTTTGGTTGGATAGGTTATAGATTTTGTTGTGGATGAATGTTGCTCTTCTCCCTGGCTGCAAATAAAAAGACTCCTAGGTAATCTCACTCTATTAAGATCTTCTCAAGTCCCCTAGAGGTTTAAGGGAATGACAGAGGTTATAGATTAATAATGCATTCTTTAGTTAATAAAATCAGTTGCATCTCAACTGTATAATGACAATAGGTGACAATTTAGTAGGCTGTGTGCTTCATCAGATGCTAAACAGATAATGCTACCAAGACTTATGAAATGATCAGGGTTTTTTCCCTGCTCCCTTAGCAGGTCTTTTCATTCTCCCCATCAACATAGAACATTAGGAACACTTTTGTTGTGGTGTATTTCAAATATGTTTATAAATAATGAAAAAATGACTCTCTTATTCTGGAACTCCTGACAAATTTGCATTTGTGGACCTATGTTGTGACATTAAGCTCGTTGTTTTATTTGGTACAGATCTGAATCTTATCAGCACTAGAACAGAGTGTCATATATTTCAAAATTCTTTGCAGATTTACGGAAAAATTTTGAGCAAGACCCACAAGGAAGGGAGGTTCCTATTGAGGGCATGATCGTGTTGCACTGCCGCCCACCTGAGGGAGTCCCTGCTGCAGAGGTAAGACAGACTCAGTCCCTGTGACATGAGGAGGTAGGCCTGGGCATAAGAGCGTGGCCAGGGTCCTATGAGACTCCGGCAAAGGGGCAGTGGGCCTGGGTCTGGTATTCTTGTTGCTGGGCATGGTTATCAGTTGCTAGAAATGATGAAAACGTTGTAAAAGGAAAAGCTAGAGAAAGAATTATCTCCCATCTAATTTCTTGACCCAAAACTCATGTGTGGCAGCCTGAGTAGCACTGGATCTGTGATCTAGCACTGGTGACCTCAGGTTACACAGGTGTTGTCACCTGTGTCCTCAGTCAAGCTCTTTGTCTATCCGTTGGCTTATGGACTATTTCAGCTTTATCTGGCAATCTCACATGATAGCATGTCCAGTGAGAGGTGAGTCTCCAGCCCTGAGCACCACTGCTGAAAAATTCATCCTTCACTCATTGAGGTACATCATCCACTGAGCATCTGTGATGTCACCACTGGGCTGCTGTTGGATATAAAGTCTTACTAAGTCACAGGTCTCTGATCTGCCAACTTCCTTCAAAGTGAGACTCCCAGAAGCCAGAATCATTGTGGATTATTTCTGCTTCTGGCATGACTTCTAGAGCTTTCTTCTTCCACACTATTAAAGTATGATTGTAATGAATAATATACTGCGGTAGTTGCAAAGTCTTTTTAAATCTTTTAGTTACTTTGCAAGGTGTTCTTATCGACTGGTAATGTAGTCATAATTAGGGGGAAGCTAAAACTGAACACATAATTAATAGAATTAATAAAATGTCTCTAAATCTGTAAACTTTGGCCTGAGTTTAGCAGAAGATGGGCCAATTGTGGTTCTTCTATGGTGAGCTAAGAAACCATCTTTGTAGCTAAATTTTAGCTAGAAAGTAGAGATCCTGTTTTTTTGTTTTTTTGGGTTTTTTTAGAGAAAAGAGCCTTTGCCTCATGTTTTAGCTAAAAAAGAGGTGGGATTTTGTAATTGGAAGGAAAAAGGAGGGGAGAGGCAAATGCAAAGCACACACTTGCACATTTTGGGAGAAATCGTTCTGGCTGGACACTATTCAAAGCTCAAATGGTTCACAGAAATGAAGTAAACGGACTTGAAAATTAAAGTGAACACTCCATGCATGATATGAAATGATTTGAAAAGAAAAGCTTATTTTCAGATTTTTATTTAACGTGGAACAAAAAAACATTGATCTTCTTTGGTTGCCTACTTGCTCCAGACAAAGAACGTAGCCTCTTCCAGGGCACGGCATTAAGTGCACGTGTGAATGTGCTGATCTGGGAGTCCACCTGGCGTATCTGTGACTCTGCAGCCACTGTCATCTCAGAATCCCAGATAGGCATTGGTCCATAGACAGAAATGCATCATCTGTCACACTACCTGTGTGAAATGGCCCTTTGTCTACTCATGTTTCCTTTCAGTTCTGTGCTGGGCCACTGCGACCAACATTTGCAGCCATGGGAGTAGTGAGCTGGGAAGGATGCTAATGTTTGTTATCAGCAATCGGCCCATGGGAGCCTAGCACACTCTCTAGAGTTCTAGGAATCCACTTTTATGGCTTAGATATGTACTGGGCACAATGTTTATATTTTCAAGGCATGAAAACTGATGTTTTGATCAATGACCTATGAAACAAAGGTCTCCAGCACTCAGGGTAAAAGTATATTTTCCTTTAGTGCCGTACAAGACCCAACACAATCTGGTTTACAGTTTTCTCTTCTGCTACTCTACACCTGACCCTGCTACAGCCACATTCCCTTTCTCACTTTTTCAGAGGCATCAACCCTTCTCCTGCTACAGGTCCTTTGCATATGCTGGCTTCTAGTGGAACCTTCTTCTCTGGCTGCTGCAGTGCTTTGCCATTCTCACTTCAGGGCTTGCTCAAATATCACCCATTTAGTGAGGCCTGCTGTGGACACTTTTTTGAAAATGTCACTTTCCCACTACACACCTTTACTTCTTTTTTTAAAAAATTAATTTTATTGGTACATTTTAGATACACGTAATGATTACAATCATCATACAGAATTTGTACCTCTACATGATATATCTTGATTCTTTTCTTGTTTCCCTTTTCTCTCCCCTCTCTTCAAACCTTCTTCCCCTCCTTATTTACAAAAGCTTTGACTCTATTTTTTCTTGTTTTCTCTTTCTTCCCCTTCCTTTCTTTCTCCCTACCCCCTCTGTTGTTTTCCTTCCCATTTGAACATTTTCTTCCTATTTTCCAATATCTATTACACATTTTGGTCCATATTTACTCTTTTGGTTTCTCACACTAGAGAAACAATGTAATATTTAAGCATGTGTTTGATTAATTTCACTTAAGAGTACAGTCTCAAGGTGCATCCATTTACCTAGAAATACCTCAAGTTTATCCTTCTTTATGGCAGTGTAGTACTTCATTGTATTAAAAAAAAAACCCATATCTTCTTTATCTGTTAATCCACTGAGGGGCATTTGGGCTGTTTCCAAGATTCAGCTATTATAAACTGTACAGCTATAAATATAGGTATGGATATATCACTGTGGTATGATACTTTTAATTCTTTGAGGCAAATACCAAGAAGGGAAATAGCTGGATCAAATGAAACCTCTAGTTTCAGTTTTTTGAGGAATCTCCACACTGATTTCCACAGTGGTTGCATCAGTTTGCACTCCTACCAACAGTGGAAAAAGATACCTTTTTCCCCACAGTCCCATCAGCATTTGTTACTTATTTCTTAATAATAGCCAATCTTTCTGGAGCAAGATGAAATCTCAGTGTTGTTTTAATTTGCATCTCTCAAATGACCAGTGATATTGAACATTTTTTCACATATTTATTTGCCATTTCTACTTTTTCATCTGAGAAGTGTCTATTCATTTTAGATGCCTATGTTTGGACTGGGTCTTTAAATTGGGGGGGGGGGATATGATTTTTTTTTAGTTCTTTATATGTTCTAGATATGAGTCTTTCATCTGAGGAATCACTGGAAAAAGATCTTCCAAAGACTGTGGGTTGTCTCTTCACTCTGTTGGTGGGTCCTTTTGTTGTGCAAAATCTTTTTAGTAAGATGAGATTCCAGTTTTTGATTCCTTATGATATTTCCTATGTGATTGGGTTTTTTTTCATAAAGTCTTTGCCTATTTCCATGTCTTTAAGAGTTCTCCCTATTATATCTTCTAGAAGATTTAATGTTTCTATTTTAATATTTAGATCTTTGATCCATTTTGATTTTAGCTTAGTGCATGGTGAAAGATAAGGGTCTAGCTTTAATCTTTGGCATGTGGAAGGCCAGTTTTTCTAGCACTATTTATTAAAGAAGCTATCTTTCTTCCACTGAGGGTGTTTGGTACCTTATCAATGATAAGGTGGCTGAGTGAGTTTGGAGTTGTTTCTACATATTCTAATCTCTTCCATTGATCCTCGGTTTAGTTTTTTGCCCATGTCATGCTGTTTTTATCAGTGTAGCTTTGTGGTATAATTTCAAGTCAGAGATTGTGATGTCCTCTGCCTTGCCCTTTTTTACAGAATTGCTTCTGCTAATCTAGATCTCTTCTGATTCCAAATGAATTTGAGGATTGTTTTCTCTAGTTTTTGGAGGTATGCTGGTGGTATTTTGATAGTGATTGCATTAAATCTGTATAACAATTTTGGAAGTATGGCCATTTTCACCATATTGGTTCTTCCTATCCAAGAACAATGGTTATCTTTTCATTTTCTGATATCTATTTTGGTCTCCTTTTTCAGAGTACTGTAGTTTTCAATGTAAAGGTCTTTTATGTCCTTCATTAGGTTGATTCCTAAGTATTTCATTTTTTTTTTTAATGCTACTGTGAAAGGGCCACACCTGTACTTCTGAGCCCTTTTGCCTGTTTTATATTTTATCTTTATTCCCTATCACAAGCATGCTATATTTGTACTGCTTAGTTTTCCTCCCACACTGAAATTTAATGAGGGGAGTTTTTGTTTACTTATTTATCTCTGTATCCCCAGAACATGAAATTGTGCTTCTCATATTATCAAAAACATGAAAGATAACAAATGTTGGGAAGGATGTGGAGAAAAGGGAACCATTATACATTGTTGGTGGAAATGTAAATTTGTACAGCCATTATGGAAATCAGTATGGAGGTTCTTCAAAAACTTAAGAAATAAAACTACCGTATAATCCAGCAACCCCACTAGAGAATATATATGGGATGGAAATGAAACCAATACCTCTAAGAGGTAGCTGTTCTCCCATGTGCCTTGCAGCATTATTCTCAGTAGCTGAGATACAAATCTAACTGAGGTGTCCATCAGTGGATGAATGGATAAAGAAAATGTAGTGGATATATACAGTGGAATGATATTCATTTCCAATTAGAAGGAAATCTTTTCATCTGTGACTACATAGATGAACCTCTAGTCTAAACATTATGTTAGGTGAAGTATACCAGGTACAGGAAGACAAATGTCACATGATCTCATGTATATGTGAAATCTAAAAAGGTAAAAAATAGAGAGTAGAAGGTGCTTTCCAAGGGTTAGGGAGAGGAGAGGGTCAGAGGATTCAAATTTCAGTTCGGCAGTTGGATTAAATCTGAGAAAGCTATTGTACAAAGTGATTGTAATATATTCTTGAAAATTACTAAGAGTAGATTTTAAGTATTCTAACCACAAAAGTATTGCTGAGTATGTGAGGTAAGGCAAATTAGCTAATTTAGCCACTCCATAATGTACACATAATTAAAAATGTTCCACATACTAAATATATACAATTTTATTTACCAGATAAAATTAATGTAAAACGTGCTTCTCACATCAAGTTTTTCAGTAAACACTTGCATATGACTGAAAGGTAGTTTCTTGGCTCTGTTGATGGATATTTGAGGTTATATCAGGATTAGCCCCAGGTAAAGTTGACAAAGTCCATTAAACTTTTATTTGGTGGGTTTTTTATTAGTTGGTAAAGGAGACCATCTTCCATATGCTTTTCAAACATAGAAATTTAAAAAAGGATGTGCAGTGTGGTAAGGC